GACAATTATTTTCTCAATTTTCATCTTGAAGGCAATTATATATTCTTGATTCATCTAGTATATGTAATATCTGAAGTATTTCCTTACTGATGTATTCCACTACAACCACTTTTACCTTTCTTTCTGTACTGTTTTGACACAAATCATATATTATGTTGCATTTTAATCTCGCATCATATTTATATGAATTTTTAAACTATTTTAACATTTGAATCATGCATTTAGGTATTTATCAGTACATAGGGTAACTTAGGAAATAGTTAAAATTTTAGTAAATGAATTTATGAACTGATTAAAATGTTTACTAATGTTTTATCTTAAAATAAGGGGTATAACTGTTTATCTACATGTATATTACATTTCCAACATAGTAGAAATTGTCAGTGATAGTACAGTAGTACAGAGCTATCAGAGTTTTGTGGCATTTGTCAACATAAGGTGAATGGTTTTACAAGTGATCAAAGAATCTCACAGATAAACCATATTGATACCAATGATTATTTAGAGTCTATTTATCAGCTATCAATACCAATGGAATAACTGACCCTCAACTGAAGGGTCGTACAAGCTCTTTGGTGTTATAGAAATCTAGACTGTTCAGCCATCATAGTTTATTGACAAGAGCTTTAACATTGTTGACCCCAAAGGGTAACCTGGTGTTTACCCCCACTTTACAAACATGTAGTAGGATCAAATTATTATATTTGTCAAACCAATTAAGATATGGAAGTGTGAATCAAGTTGACAAGTCAATTTGATGATTTTCCCCTGTGTGATGCATTGTGCTTATTGTAAGTGTAATCTTTAATTTTATATTCAGTATATTTTTAAAAGTTTTGGTTTTGTTTTTTTTTAACGTTCTTGGAAAAAAGAAGGCACAATTGCAGTTAATAAAAAAAGATGTATAAATAACTCCTAAATAACTTCTCATATCTTCCTTATGATTACATGTAACTTTAACAATTCTTGTTTTATTTGCACATTCATTATATTACATGAAAAAAGGTTTGACAACTTTTTGTCGCCAAATGTTTATTATATTATTGATGAAATGCAAAAACATGCCTCATGATATGAAAAATTAACATATAATCAATTCAAAAATCGGAAAACTGAAATAAAATCTGTTCTTGAGACAAAACTGCTATAAATTCTGATGTAGATTTTACATTATATTCCATTATCTAAGATATTGAATTTTGCCAACAAAATGCTATTTTCTATTGACCTGTCAAAAACATTTTCAATTTTATAATCTTAAGTTATATCTTTATCTGTAAAGATGCTATCAATAGTGCAGTAAGGGATATTTAATAGTACAGAAATAAAAAAGACCACATTGACTATAGTTATGACATGTAGGGTGGTAGTTCAACATATATTGTAAATAGTAGAACTTCCACATACCTGAGGTCAAATGAAACAAAACAGTTATTGAAATAACAACAAAAATCATGTAAACTTATATTTGACCCTGAGATTTAGTTGTGATATAGATGTTACTATTTCTTATGACACAATATGTAAAGCTTTAATTACTGGCAGTGCATGAGACATTGCATTTCTTTTCTTTAAGTTTGACATGACACCTGTAGTGGTCATGCAATATTTATATAGACCTAAAGGTAAAAAAAATATGGCAAGGGTTTTAATTATAATAATGTGAGGGCTTTGACATATGGATTAATGTTTCTAATTAAAAAAATGATGTTAGTTTATCCAAAATCCCAATAAAAGGATAAAACGGACTAAAAATAAAGGGAGGTTGCATTTGAGAATCTATTAAAAGCCATCTATTTGATGCATTTTGTTTTATTTCTTCTTACCAAAAGATTGAAGATATATAACTTCATTTGAAGTTCTCAAACTAAGATGGTGTTTTATGTTGCCTATATTAAGAAGCAATTAATTATCTGATGCAGTACAAAAGAAGATCTATTTTACTAACCTTGATTCATAATTCAAGTGAAAATATATGAAACGAAGATACAAATTTGTAATTTAATATTTTTGACACTTTCAAAGCCACGTTTTGTGTTTCAATTTACCAAAAATTTGTTTCATTGTAAATTCTTGAAAAAAATAATATTTATTTTTAAAAATGATCTGATGATCTCAAATTTTATTTTATTAGTTCTTCCTGCACCTGTAGAACAGAATATGATCTGCCCTAATGTTAAGTATACCCAATCATAAAACATAAGTAAGAAATATTTTGACACTGAATATACAATGATATCATCATTAAAACATCTCATTTTATAAATCATTTGAATATACAGTTTATAAAAGGATTTTAGGTAATAATTCATGGAAGGATTTGGGGGTATTTCAATTTTCATAATGCGGAACTCTTTGCAACTGCAGTTGTTTTGGAGGCAAAACTGAGGAGTTGTTCGGGATCATCTTTCATGTTTAAATTAAGTTCCTTCCAAAATGATGATAGTTCAAATCATAGGGGACAAAAAAGGAGTACTTGATCGTAATATTATGCAGGAGAAAATTGAGATGCTATGCCAGGTGGTAGAAACAAATTTCAGCAATTTTTTTTCATGACACTTTTGCCCTATACTTAAATCTCTTCATATGCGGTAATTTATCCAAATTTTGATCGGAGGGAAAATGCATCTAATCTCCTAACTCTGACAATGTCAAGTTTCCATATTAAAATTTCAAATTTGCAATTAAAGGTAAATTTATTAGTTTTACATCTGGTGATGTTGATCCCACCCAGGACCAGATAACTGTAACAAATCAGATCCTTTTAAAATAACATGAAAATGATATGAAAATAACCCATAATAAATAAAGAGAAAATAGATTAATCATGTATTTTGATACTGTATATAAAATTTTCTATATGGCTGGTCATTTTCATTTTATAATCTGTGAGTCACTTTTTATACCTGGTCACAAACACCTGTCTAATATGTACTTAGTTTTGAGGTGTATAATATTATGCATCAACAAGTATTATTTAGCATTTGAGGTGGTCCTAAGGTGTCTGACTTCACAAATTTATTGCATATTTATTCTTTTACACCCTTTTGTTATCCCTATGTACAAAGGGATTTGTTAGTCCATTGAAATGTCTTTTGATGTTTTACTCTGTTCTAATGAATTGCTATGCAAATTAAATTATGTATTTAATTTTCATTGAATGTAAGGGGATGTAACTCTTTCAGTTTTGATAAATATCGAAATTTAGAATGATATTTGGTTACATATACAGAAAAAGGGTGCAAATTACATCATGAACATCCCGCTTAAAAGGTCCCCCCTTTCCCAATCCATGTTATTTTTCAAGAAGGGTGGAAACTCTTAATCAAAATGTTAAACTCCACAAACAAGAGGTTTTCTGTTATATACCAAAGACTGGCCATATGGCATGTGGAAATCAATTTATCATTCTCTCTCATAACTTGACAAACTGTTCTTCATTTTTTCAACATCTAATAACAGCTTTCAGACTTGACAATGATAATCCTTTTGATTTTTTTTACATCACTGCCACATTAAGTGTGTTATAATTATGTGGAAGCCTGCATGACAAGAGTGTATTAATATCGACTTTTTGAACTTATAATTATAATCACACACATTCTGTAATCAAAATTCAAATAATGAGTTCTGAGATTTCAAAAATCATATTCATTTGAATGTTTTATCACTCCCAGAAGATGAAATTTTCACAGATCATATCAAAAAGAGTCATCAGAAGTTGGCAAATGTTGATGGTGTCTATTAGTTTTATATGGAATGAATTAAAACTTGCACATTTTCATCAATAAATGATAGAATCGTCAAGGCATATGGTCAAAAAGATTACAAATATTCAATATTTAAATTGTTAGCTCTCTAGTGTGTTGTTTGTAGTATTTTATGATATCTATGATCATAATTGAATCAAAACAATTTCAGAAGTATGTTTACAGGGTAGATGAACACGGAGATTAATATCATACAAGGGTATTAATTTGAAAAATAAAAATATTATGCTGAATAAATAAAAGATATTGAAGTGAAAATAAATATAGAAATTGATAAAATGTTATTAAAATCTGCTTTAAATTTAGTCAAGTTTTATCTGAATACCAATCTTGAGTTTTATTCAATTGAAATTACATGCATTAAAAACTGCTACAAAGCATATAGGTACATGGAATGAATATATTAGGATCATCTATTTTGATGCTGAATTTAAACTCAGCAAGAAAATTATGGCCAATTATTAGCATGAACAAGATTAACAAGGCATATCATAGACAAGATACCTGTACCAATCATCCCATGACTAAAGTGTTACCATCTGCTTGTTTTTATACCAAACATTGTCTACCAGACATCAACCTTATTATGTGGTTTCACAGTTGATTTAAAATTTGTAAATTGGTCAGTATAATTTCACTGTCAAAATTTTGATTTGTCATCTTTGGAGGTCTGTGAGGCCTTTACAAGTAACACATAAAGTACATTTAACTGATTGAAGTAAGCTGGAATCTTCTTATACAATATATGTACCCAATTCAGGTGTCCAAACTGAATTGCTCCTGATGTTCACAGCCAATAGTGTCTTATTTGTTGGATATAACATTGTTGATGTATGATCATATCTTATTGAGGACATTACACTGCCCTAAAATTGCCACAGTTTCCTGAAGTCAGGAAGTGACTGTACTTTTGTCTTGGTCTTTTTTTAGAAAAGTTTTATCAAAGATTGAATAGCAGCAGTACACCAGGTCAGCTTATTGGTCATTTACATGTATGCTGTGTTGATTTATTGACCAGCATAAGCATAGGGTTATTCCAAGATTGAGGAAATTTGTGTAGCACTGTATTAATTTATTACTTATGACAGTGGTTGAAGTCTTACTTTTCAGAAAGAAAATAATCTAGAAGCCATACTCTTTTACTGCAAATAGTACAGGCATTTTTGGATATGATTAATGGTTAAACAATAGTTACTGTAGATTTGACAATATTTTATTGTTTTTTTTCAGGTTCTGAACTTCCAGCCCTATCCCCTTCATCTCCAGTCCGTGTTGATGCCCATGTTTGTGGAAAGTGTCGTGAAGAATTCCTTGAACTTCCTGACTTCATAGAACATAAACAACAGTGTTTAAACAGAAAGCCTTGTGTATTTTTTGACGCTAGTGAAAGTGAAGACTTTTCTGATAGTGGACTTGACTCAAACTGTAGAGAATCAAACTTGGACAATAGTCAAACCTTCCTTGCTGACGCAGGGTCTGACGGAGAAGGAGACATGGAACATTTTGAAGAAGAAGATGAAAACAATGAAATTGGTGATGATTTTGTAAATGACAATGTAGACGATGAAAATAATGTGATGATGAATGATGATCATGATGCATCTGATCATAGTGACAATGATGAGGATGATGATGAGCATAAGGATCATAATCAAAATGTTGATTATTCTAAAAAAGTCAGACACGAGGCTGATATGAATGCAACATTGTCTCAGTTAATGTTTCCATTCGGACCAGGTTTCCCCAACATGGATTCCAATGTGACATTAGAACCATTACTGGCAACCAAAGCTGCAGTGGCCCAGTTTGCAGAAAATAACAATTTGCCACCGAATGATATTGCAGTTCTTCATAGTACGTTGTACAGTCTTCAGCAACAACAGATTTTACAATTACAACTGATTCAGCAGTTACAGACACAGTTGATGATGGGAATACCACCTAATCTACCCATGGGACATTTCCCATTCCCTATGTCAATGGGGTTACCAATGCTGCCATCAAGAGATGACATGAATGATGATGATGATGATGACAGTGATGATCTGGAAAGTGAAAAAGGTATACAGATTTACCGAAAAATTAATTTGTTAATAAAGAGATTTTATACCTAACTAGTTGCAGCATATGGTTGAGTTTGGACGAAAGATAATATAGTGACTTTTGTCAACTTCTATATGTAAGCCTAGAAAGTTTAAAGGTTTGAAATTTGTTAAAGGTTTTGTAATGTCAGTTAACTAATAGATGTTGCAGTCACTAGAAAGGTATCTGAGAAAAAAGTGTGGAAGACAATTTTGACCCTTTGCTTTACACTGTTATTACTGGAAATTTAAAAACTACTAAATTTTACTTCCAGAGCAATGAACATTGGTTAAAAATAACAAGTTGTTCCTAAATTCCTTGAAATTTAAAAATATGATTTTTTTCCACAGAAGTTCTCTGATTTTTGACTCACTCATTCACATCATTTTTATTTTTCAATATTTATACAAATTTAATCAAAGGTGAAGAAGAGAAACAATTAGAAAAAACAGGTGAATCTAGGAGTTCTTGTACTACACCATCACAACCACCTCCTGCTGTATCTATGGCAACATCAACAGAAACAAGTCTGCCATCATCATTGCCATTACCTGGAAGTAATTCAACATCATCCAATGGTCCACCATCAGAATTTGCCAAACTTACAAAATGTATGTACCACTATATGATATTTGACACTTCTGTTTAATGGCAAGATTGCCATGTCTTGCATGGATTTATTTTTTTTTTTGCATGATTTTTGGTCCAAAATTTAAAGAAGTCTTATCCAAAAATTTATGGAAGACTTACACAAAGGCCGGTGAAAGGAGAAGTGTTTATCTTTGTACTAAAGCTCACACAGAACCCTATGAGGCAGTACTGTCTCTATAACATGTAAGACATTTTCAAGTTGGTAATAAATTAGATTTTAACCACTTTTGAAAAAATAACAAATGTGTGATTTAGTTGCTTTTGTAAGGCTGTGGGTGGTCATCAACATTAATTGTGAAAAGTTTGGTTAATCCAATTGTTAAATAATCCCACAATTCATGTGAAAATGATACCAAAATAGAGGTATAATTTTGTAATACATATAAAGATGATATTTATGCAGATTAAGGTGTACTCTACCAGGCATCTATTGTACACCTGGTTTCACCTATAATTTGTCTGTCATAAAATATGATTTATGCATGAGGTGACAAGTAAATGGCAGTATTTTGTGTAACTATATGATTAAATATAATTGACGAGTAATAAATTTATATCCTTTCTTTTTCTTACTTCATGGCAAGAAAGGACGGGATTCATTGTTAAGTATCATAACCAAGAATTTTATTTTTTTTATTTAAAATTCTTTTCTGGTTAAATCATGTTCTTATATGTCCCAGTAGAGAACACAAATTTGTTTACTGGAAATACTTTTTGATTATTACCAAAAATATTCTAAAATATGAATCAGTTCTTTTAAAAAGGGGTAGAAGATACAAATGGTAAAACAATCAAAACTTCAAAAAGATTTTTTGTAGATTTCTAAAAGTCCTAAAGCCTCAGCTATATTCTGCTGTAGGTTTTACAACTGATTAGTAACAGATTTGATCATATCACAGTTGTTTTAGAGTATTGAAACACTTGCTAATCAAAGAAGTGTTTATATGAATTTTTAAAAAACAATAAATTCATGTCTTGTAATCAAACAGATCAATTCAAAATTTAATGCTTTAGAAAAAAATGCTAGTTACAGTTGCTGTAGTATGATTTAACCAACATTTCTTGCTGTATGGTATTAAACAGGTTTTCTTTATGGTAACTAATCACTTGTCTGTTCCACTGAAATTTAATGACTTAAACAAGTTTGATCTGATTTTTTCCAAATGAGTTTAAAAAGAGATATTGGATGAATATCAATGTGACGGCAACCCTACTTCACAAGTTAAGGACTGTGTAAACACTAAAGACACATAGACAATGATATTTATTAAGACGCATAGACAATGATATTTATTAAGACACATAGACAATGATACTTATCAAGACACATAGACAATGATATTTATTCTGGTAGTCTTCTTAGTGATTCAGTTAATGTAAATCAAATCAAATCAAATAAAAAGTTAATTTTGTTAAATTCTTTTTCTAAATTGTGTAGGGTATTCTAAATGTTAAATTCATTATAGGCAAGTATTTTAGTTTATTGCTAAAAGAAAATTTTTATGTGGTCTATTTTTGGTTTAATTTACAATTTATGAAATATTGATTTATGCGTATCGATATTTATCTGTATTATCGGTAATTATATATTGATAACAGAAGAACACAACTCTTCTGGGAGTTTTATTACCACCAGACAACTTTTAAAAGCCAAGTTTGTGATAGAATTTAGGTAAATACCTCAAATCTGATAAAATATTTGTTTTTTTAATGGAAATGTAAAGTAAAAAGGGATTATGCTTAATTTGAGGTATTCACCCCCTTGAAATAAATGAAGAAATAGGCACAAGTGCATTAGTGACTTGGGAAGACTGCTTCCTGTGAATTTATAATAACTCCTGGTATACTAATTTTCGTGGATTACTTGTTTTTTAGTGAACCACAAATTTAAGTTTTCCGCAAAATACGAATTTCCTCTCAATTCTTGTAGAAAAGTACGAAAAATGTTTATTTAAACATATATGCAACAAAAATTGAATATTTTTTTAGATTGAATTATTGTTTTTTTGCTTTTAGAAAGATCAGATTTCAATTTCTGTGACTAATGGTTTTTTCCAAATTAAAAACAAGGGCTCTTTCCTGGTAATAAAAGAAGAGACATATGCATCCAGTAATATATTTTTAATGGTTATATAATACAAAATCATAAAATCAAAATGATCTATTTCGCAAGAGCAGAAATAATTGACAATAAATTTTAACCGTATTCATATAAAGTCATATTTAGTTTGTTTTTTCAGTTTGTTACCATGGATTTTGTAATTCAAGTTTGATATGATCAAGAAAATATGCAATTATAAGTCTTTTTATTATACATGTTATATTTTATAGCTGTAGAAGATATCCATAATTTTATAAAATGAGAAACTAACAACTGCAAAAAAACGATAATGAAATTAATAAGAAAATTTTGTGAGTTGATTCTTGACATTTTTCTTCAGTTTGATTAGTTTGCATACATCGTTCTTTGCATTTGAAAATTAGAAGGCATATCAAAAAATCATCAGATAAAATCTTAAGTCAGTCAGTCACAAATTCTCAGTCTTTATTGTTTGTTTGTTAAACAAGACAATAATGTAATACATAATAACACAAGGACCATTTGCCATAAAAGTGGAAAACATCACTCAAAGTATATTACCTTTCATTTTTCATGATGCAAGTTCTCTCATATTTTTGTGATTTATTTGATAATTACCAAATGATACATTTTCTTTTTATTAATCCGATATGGACATTAATTTTCCACGATGACTTGATCAAAGGTTTTTATTTTTTTGCATTGTGTGTTACCCTTTTGTTAGGTTTGATATGTACTTGTTTTATGTTGCAGTATTTATATATAAACATATTATGTATCATAAGATATAAGATGTAACACTCTATGATAAAAGTGAAAGTTTCAGAAAAAAATGACAAATTACAGTATTTTTTTCTTGGGATATTGATTAAAGAGTACTTCATACTCATCAAAGTGTATTGACACAGTGTTGTAATCAATTAATGAGGATAAAATATGATAGATTATAAGTATGGACAAGGGATTGTTCTCTAGATCCAAAGAAATTTCAATGCACCATTAGTTTGGGATCCATCAGATTAAAAAATATTGACACAAAATTCCCATATTTGCCTTTAATCAAAAGATCTGTTCAGAATGAATTGTTTTAATGTCTTTTTTTTTTAAAAAATTGGATGAATGACTGCATGATGAATTGATATAACAAAATTGTCAATTCAAATATTGAAAATTTGGTAGGATAAAGGCCAAATTATACTGTCTGCTGACGTCTAGTAAACAAATTGTGTCTAAAAGTACCATTTTTGATGAAAGTATATTGCAATGATAGGACTGTCCAGGACTAATAATTATAGAATGTCTTTTATCTAGGCTAAAGGCTTTATGCTACAGACAGGCAATATGAATATTTTTTATTTCCTCTTGGCATTATTATGGTATATTGCATGACCTTAAGTTATTTTCAACAACTTTTTGGCAAGCGAAGTGTTTTCCTAATTCATATGTCAGCAATTGGTGCTATCCCACAATGCATCATTTTAACATCCAATAAAAGTAATCATTTCTATGAACTGCCAGTATTCAAAGCTTAAATTATGCTTTAAATTAAGTTATCTCCCCTTTATGCCACATGTACTAAATTCAACTGAGGAATATCAGTTTGATTTAATAATCAAGAAATTGAAAGATTCATAATGATATTGGTAGATACTAAAACCCAGACAATTTGATTAAGGCTGGAAGTCCTTATAAATGATGGAATTAGCACTAAAAAATAGACCTAAATTTAATTGGATATTTATATTTCTTCCAAAACAAACAATAGAATAAAATTTCAGAAAATGAACTGTGTTGTTAAGAGGTGGAACTAACAAGAAAATCCAATTTTATAAAATTTTAAGCAATACGTTTTTACACAATAATTTATCAAAACACTACCGTAATCAGAAAAAGGTTTGACTGTGAAGCTATGAACATTCCAATATTCTGTAGATTAACTCTACAATTGATGCAGGTTAGAATTTTTACCACTATTATGTGAACAATCAACCCTACTCAGACATGCTAGAATCAATATGATGATATCAAATATATATTTCAATCAAATCAGTAGGGTCAAAGGAGGCAGAATGAAGATCCCATTAAATGTGTTAGGAGTTAACCAAAGAATCACACTAACATGATTATATCATAGACTAGGCATCAGAAAAACAGAAAAATTGGCGATGATAAGCATTGACATCAGAGTGCATAATAACATAACAATTTTATTTGTAAGGCGCTAGGGTCATGACAATCAATTTTGTATCAAACAGGATTCTGTGAAAGTCACGAGGAAAATTGATTTATTAAATTTGAAATGATCTATTACCAGTGGCGATACATTTCAACAACATTCATATTTTCATCAATAAAGCAGTAATCTGACGTTTGAAAGACACGACTAAATATGATTTTCTTTTCCCAACAGACCAAGTAATATTGGCAAAGTTACTGCACTTCTTGCCGACGTTGACAGGTCAGAGATGATTTATGGAAAATACATCCGATTTATGAAATTACTGTCACCGATTCGTATACCAATAATCCATGTTTTAGCTTTACAGTGCTTTGCTAACAGAATTAATGGTCTTGTTAGTGAGGTATCGAAGCACATCTTATATATTGGTCCATTGTCCCCTACGCAATACCATACAATAAAAGAATTGTTACTTTTATGGAACTTGACAATGAGATATAAAACTAAAGTGCTGAAAGGAAATAATGGAAAATTATTTCTTATTTTTTTTTACATCCTTGTAATAAAAAAAATAAGATCATCTTCTTAAACTTTCTGAGAATGAAAAGTCATTTAAAGTGAAATACTTTGAATAAATACATCTTAATTTTATTATAAAACTTTTAAAAGTATAAGTGACTGCTTTAAGCCACATAGGAATG